GCCAAGGAACCGAGCTGCTTCAGCTCCTATGGCATCAGCTGAGCCGAGACCGCCATTGCTCCAAAGACATGCTCAGGACAGCCACGTGACGGTGAAGGCAGGTGGGGCTGTGTGTCGTCAAGGGTCAGAGAGGCGCAGAAGCCAGGCGGCAGTTCCACGATTTCTGACAATTGTTTGCCCTTTCTGGGCTGTGACTGTGCATACAATATTTGATGGCATCTGTTACATATGCCATTGAAAAGTATCTGTGTGGGGAAAAGGAGCTGGTTTGAAATGAGGTCTGCCATACAGCACTGACATTTTTATCTGATGCTTGCAGCTCATGAGTGGCCTCGCTGCCCCTGGGAACCCACGGGGCTGCGGGCCACAGACCGTACCTTCTGAGCTGAGATCTCCGCACAGCACCACAGCAGTCTGCACTTTCCAAATCTATGTTGAGCCATTTCGGAGAAAACATTCAATTTTATTTTGAAATCTTGGTTTTGGGCTTTTAAGGGTAAGGTTTAGGATTAGCAACACACAATAGAAGGCACTATTAACAGCGAGACTTCAGCTCACTCGGGAGAGGCACCCATCGCCTGTGGTTCGTGGCGGCATGGCCCCCCACTCCCTACCCTGAAACTTGGGTCTGCCATTTTCCTCTCCTGGCCACTGCTCCCCGGAGCCCACAGCAAGGGCCAACGACAGCGGCTTTTCCAAGTCCCCACCACCTGCACCCACCTCCATGGGCCTTCTGCCCAGTCTCTTTGCTTCCCTTTCACTCATTTCTCTGGTTTCCTTCCCTTGGATTTATACTGCTGAGTTTAAGGACTCTCGTGGAGTTAGCAATCATCCACTAACATTCTGACCCTACACCAGGGACCCTACACCAGGGACCCTACACCAGGGACCCACAGAGGGTGGGAAACGCTCAGCTACATGAAAAAATGCGGCAGCTGAACACGACTTGCCCGAGGCCCTTGGCCGCCTCTGGGGTGTGCGAACCTGTGAGCCGTGGCCCCCTGGAGCTCAGTGTGGTCAGGCCCAGGTGGGGAGGGCGAACGGGAGTGGGCTGGGTGCTGAGTGAGGGGCATGCAGGGGCTGACAGGGGCACATGGGGGCTGACGATGGCACGCAGGGAATCGGTCAAAGCTGCGGTTTCTCTTTTTCCCACTATAGTTTGACAGGGCCATTTAACTATCTCTATAATTCCCAACATTTTGGACTTAAACAATCTGTCTTTGTCTTTACCCATTTGGAAATACCTGATTACCTAGGAACACAGATACCCTGTGAGGGCTGCTGTCCTTAAAAAGTTGACATAGCCTATCTGATCTGAGTTTCTGGTCAAAACCTGAAGTGGGTGGGGGAACAGGAGCCTTCCTATTAACTGCCACCATGAATTACAGTGGGCCTCAGTTGGGAAAATCGAAGGTTTCACCACCCTTTGCTGAGCTGATGTAGAGAAATGCCTGTGTGTGTTCAGCCAAGTGTCCCGCCTGCCCCTGCTGTTCCTAACCGTTGATCTTTACAGCACGTGGAGGCAGTCGCTGCTTCCATATAAAGCCTGTAACAGATTCCACACCCATGTTTCCATTACCCGCTTTCCATCTCCAGGGAGTATGAAGAGAGACAAAGAGAAAAAGAACAGAGGGCAGACAGCTCTGTGTGGTCTGATGACTGTGTGACCTTGCCAGGCAGTGAGCTTGCTGAGCTGTGCATGTCACACGTGTGTGCGGGTGGCTTAGGACTCAGCAGTTTGGACTCTCCTGTGCATGCATGACAGAGTTCCCCTGAAATACAGGCCTTCCAAAACAGTAAAGTCTGACCTCATTTCTTACGCATGTTTTTAACCACTGCGCCCCTAAATAGAGGGTGGGAGTGCTGGCTAGGGAGCTCCCCCTACCAGGTGCCGTTTTCCTCCTGCCTCAGAGAAGCCCCTTTGCATAGGCTGATACTGGCCAACAGGAGTACAAATGCACAGGGACAATGTACTGGAAAAAGAAGTCATCTAGGGGTCCCCAGACTCACGTTTTCTGCTGGACCCCCACCCCCGAGCCCCATCACCATCCTCCTCCCGTGCAAGCCAGAGGCTGGGGGCTGGTCGGCCCTCTGCTCTTTCCCACCCTGACCAGACCAGGGTTGGAGAGCGCATGGACAGCTGGGCCTCAGCCCGCGCATGCCCCTGCTGGCCTGCTGGAATTCTCTCTCCATGTGGCCGGGTGGCTCTGCCTGGGAGAACCCACTGCACGCCACTTAGGGGCAGGCATCCGGTGCAGCAGGCTCTACACAGAGCTTATTCATTTGGTAACATGAGGACTCATTTGGGGTTGGAATCCGTAGTACATTTGTGATTTCTGCTTAGAGACCAAAAGTTATCCAGTAACATACAGTTTCTGCTGTTGGCTGTCACCACGGTGAGGAGCAAATGAACTCTACCCCATGTCCATATAAGGCTGAGCTAGCCAAGGGCTTGGGAAGAGAGCGCCGCCAGCACTGGCTCGCCACTACGGGGCACCACGTGGACAGTATATAGCAAGGGACCCAGGGGACGCTGTGGGAAAGACCCAGGCACACAGCTCTCTGGGCAGCAAAGTCCGTCCAACTGCTCTTTTTATATCTTACATTGCTTTTAAAAAATAGCACCAATCTAAATGTAGGGCATAAATAGCCCTGCTTTCTACAGGAAAACATTTGGGTTAATTTGTTAATTAACAAATACACCAGGTTTGTACAAATGAAATAGGTCCTAAATTTTAATGATGATTTAATGCAGTATATTCAACTGTCCTAACAACAAATATCTTCAGTAATATACAAGGCTTATACCCTCTAGAAAATGATGGTTTGATTTATCAAAATTGATCTCAAGTTTTTTTTCTTAACTTTTACCATCAGCCATTTCTCTCATCTTATTGACTAATATTCAATGATTAATGTTCAACATTGGAATGAGCTGGCGGCCTTGGGTGCCTGCTGCTCAGACAGCCCCACCTGGACCCGTGTGGCTGTGTCACAGCACCGGCCAGTGCAGCCTCGGGGCCTGGCCGCAGGGAGTGTCACGCAGGGCAAAGCACGAACACTGCGTTTACAGCCGTCCGAGCACCCGGCTGTGGATCCCCTGGGCCAGCCCCAGACGGGACCTGCAGCTCTGTCTCTTGAACAAATTACTCGGACAATTGCCAAGCTCAGCGCCCCTGGACCAATGCCAATGACCTGCCTGCAGAAACAGAGGCAAGCCAAGCCCACACTGGGCTCTGCTCACTCAGGTTAATCGAAGTAACAGAAGGCGTCAACTTACCTACTTTACTTGACAGTGTATAAGAACAGATTCAAGGGATTTTCTCAAGTAGGGATGACGGGAAATAAAAAGCTCTCAATGCCTGTATCATAAACTTGCTGAATCAGAAAGACCTAGGGACCCTGAGAAGCCTCCCTTCTCATCGCCTCTTTGAGACGAGTTTAGCATTGTGTACAAGTCACTGTCGTGCAGTGGGTTATATATTAAAATAATCAGAATGAGCTATTTTTGCTGAAGAACACAGTTCTTGTACAGGCACTATGGGAAATGTCAGTATATCGGTTCTGCAGTAAATAATGGCAAAAAGTGAGAAAATAGACCCAGTAACCTCTACTCTGCTTGGCTGATCACATGCAAAGAAACGGGCCACCCCTCTGGAGTCAGACCCCCGACACAGGCGCGGGTCACGGGGGTCCGCACACTGCTTGCGTGTTCTCTCTAAGCCCACGCAAGGCTGAGCCAGCCCAGCGCGTGGGGAGGGCCGAGCCCTGCCATCAGCACTGTCCTCGCCGCTCTGAGGCTTCGCTGGGCACACCTACAGCAAGACCCCAGAGGGGGTTTAAATCTCATGAAATGCCTTCCACGTATGTAAAAAGTATTCACCCATCTTAAATGCTGAAAAATGATCTTCAACTAGCAATTCCTGAAGCATACAGACCGGCCTCCAACAGGGACCCCTCGCTAGAGCAACGGCAAGGAGCTGTTCTGGGGACTGCGGAATGACTAGTCACATGTTCGCAAATAAGGTCCCCACATTTATTAAGGGGTTCCTATCATGAATCCACCCATTTGGCTTTTGGAAGGAACTTCGGGAGGAGACGACTATGGTGTAGCACCCAGGTGCAGAGGCCATGCTCCAAAGGGACGAAGGAAGGGCTGCTTTGAAAACTGACTTCAGGATTTCTGGGGGAAACTCATCCGAAACACCCGCTGACTGCAGTAATTTCCAATTCCACAATGACAGGGCAACGCAGGCAAGGATTCCCGATGGCTTCTCACAGCCGGCCTTGGGCAGGCATGAGCCCTAGAGGGAGGGGCATGACTCCGACAGGAGACGAAATACCGCCCCCCTCACTGCCATGCATGAAAGTGGGCTTCAACATATAAATGCCAGCAACAGCTTTTAAAGTTGGTTGTGTGAGACCCTGGCTTCAGCTTCCCCGGCAACAGAACGGAAGGCCAGTCACTGTGACTGAACGTGTTAACCCCGATCAGGTCCACGTTTCAGATTCCGCCAGCTGTCCTGGTCCTAACACGGGGTGACCTTCTCCTGTTTATGAGATGGGCTACATTCAGGACATTCAGGTTATGGGCAGAAGGACTAAGTTAGAAGGATGCTTGGCAGTACAATGCTGTCCCCTCTGGTCTGAGTATCTATACTGGAGTATAAATGAACTCTGTTCTCCTTATGGAATAGTTTTACAAAATACATGTTTATGCATCATATCAAAGTAGAAAACATATGTACATATATGTGATTACATTATACATATACATACACAGACACATGTATTCCTAACAACAAACAAGAGAAAAGATGTGTAAGAAAGTTACCACTGTTCTCAGTTTGCTAGGAAAGTGGTAAAAATGGGCCCAATTTCGCATCACATTACTGTTTGCTCCCGTGTGAAGAACGCGCCTAGGAAAGCAGGTGATGTCATTGCCAGCACTTTGAAGCCGGCAGCGTGGGGGTGCAGCCTATGGCCGCGCTCGGACTTACCCGCCCTCCTTTCTCGGGGTAGCACTGGCAGCCCCCGCTGCAGTCTCTCCCTCCGCAGGGCACGTCAAACTTCTTCACACCCTGCAAACACAAACACGAGGCAGAGGGGTTAGTAAGATGCTGCTGCACGCCGTCTGGAGAGAGTCCTTCCTAACTGCTCGTTCAGAGCAGACTCTTATTTGCAGAGCAGCTTTGAGGCCACAGTCAAAGGTGCAGAGATTTCCCTGTGAACCCCTGTCCCCTGCCCCATCAGCAACCCCCAACTCCCCAATGGTGCATTTCTTGCAGCGGATGAGCTCACACTCACATGTCACCATCACACAGCAACCCTGCACCTTCTACGGTCAAGAAGCCTTTTAAAAATCCCTACTGAGTGCTAGATGCCAAGCTAGGTCCTGGGGTTCGGAAGTCGAGGAGAACAATCCTGACTCCAGAGATCTGCAGGACTCTGACTTAAGTGCTGTAGCACGAAGGAAGTGATCTGGACCCACCGGGGGGCCGTCCTGGAGGAGGCGGTACTGCAGGAGCGTGGATGGGGTCAGAGTGAAGGCGTGGGGCAGTCCTGGGCCCTCAAACCACACCGACCAGGACCCGGGGAGATGGGAGGGGCTGAGGGAGGGGCTCCCACGAGGAGGCGGCACCTGCCAGACGTTGGGTAGGACAGACCCCACCTCCATGGGGGGCGGGGGTGCAGCCCCGGAACGCCTGCTGAGGGCCCCTTCCTTCCCTCCACACCGAGGAGTGGGGTGGGCCAGGAGGCCTTCAGAAGCACTGATCTGCTCGGGTTGGGCGGCGCTGCCCAGGTCTGCAGGACTTGAGCTGTAACGCGCTAATGAATCCGGAGCAGGCCTGAGATGGTCCTCGGGGCGGACAGTGCCCCTGGGAGCCAGGTATGGGGCTCCGCCTCAGCAGTCCTGTGCAACACAGACGTGGAGGCTGATGACGTCCACACTGTCCACAGGGCTGGACGCTCAGGGGAAGCGGAAAACACTGATTCTCTTCTCTGCCCTCTCCCATCAGCTCAGCCTCGGCCCTGCCTCCCCAAACCCCAGAGGCCAGTCAGGGCAGCTGCTCAGGGCTCGTCACCGGCCAGACCGCCTCCCCCTTGGGGGCCTGGGCAGGGAGAGCTTCTGCTGCGCACTCAGCCCAACTGACCCCAGATAACAGAGCCCTTCAACTCCGCGCAAAGCGCAAAGCTGCGTTTCCCACAGCTGCTCCCTCCCTCCTGAGGGAAGCCCCAGTGACTGATCAGGGTGGTCACTAGGGGACTCCCTCAGTAAGTCTTTCCACTTTTCATGCTGGCGGGTCAGCCAGAATCTTCCCTGTTGCCGGCACGGTGCCTGACGTTCATGTGCAGAAGGCACTGCTGGGCCAGGTCTGCAGGTCGGCCAGCCCAGCCTTCCCGGGCAGTTTGGGGCTCTGAGCTCCCTTTGGCCGCATGATTACTCTGCTCTTTCTGTCGAGATGATACATTCCTATTGCCGATAATTTTCTACTGGAGAGGACTCACTTGAGCTTCACATTTCTTGTGCTCTTATAATTCTCTGCCTAATCTACTGTCTCATGCCGCAGTCACCACTTTGAAGAATTAAAAAAAAAATGCCTAAAATCTCAAACCCTTTAAAGGAGTGCCTGGGGTGCCTCTGGAATCTCTTGGGTATCTCCCCGCCCTGAGTGAGCTAATGGGAGAGCTGAGTTCCACAATGTAAAAGTAAACATATACAGAATCCTTTCACGTCCCAAAATATGATTTTAGGTATTTGCCACTTTTTTATGGTTTCAATGTTTATCTACAGTGGGGCTCATTTTTAGATTCCATGATTTTGGATATTTATTTGGTTTTTATAAATGGAGCTCCACATGAGGTCCTCAGTTTTCTGGGTTACCCTTAACACCAAAGAGAGAAATCTAGTTACACTTGTATTTCGTGTAACTGTGACATGAATGGGTGGCTTGGCAGGTGTCCCTAGTTCACATAATAACTCATTTGCCAGCTGTCTGGAAAGGGTAGGGGGACTCCTTGTCTAAAGGGTGAAGCATAAACTCACATTCTGCATCTGGCATTTCACAGGCTATTTTTAATTTTGATTTTAGAGCCACTTGCCAAATCCTTGTATATAAATCAGTGGTTGACATGGTTTCAAATTGATCTAATGGATTTGCTATTCTAGGCTTAGGATATAAACTAGATTTGGTTATAGAAATGACTTTGTCATAACCCACTCAATATTTAATATTGCTTTTTTCCTTTTGGAAGTTGGACTCATAGGTCCAATAACTCCCAGTCTTAACATTTTTAACACATGTGCCAATGGCTCAGATACCGTCTCAGGAGGTGAGGACTATGTCATGGAGAGAGGCCTTCCTATAAGCTACAGCCGATTTCCATCATGGAGATTCCAGCCCCGTGTGCGTGCGTGCGTGCGTGTGTGTGTGTGTGTGTGTGTGAGAGAGAGAGAGAGAGAGAGAGATGCGATACGGGGTGTGTGTGTGTGTGTCTTGCTCATATCTTACGCACACAGAGGGACTCTCATGCTCCCCACACCTTCGAGAGGCCCAGCCCCGCAGGCCGGAATGTCAGAGCTCCAGGATGAATGGAGTGTTTGCCTGACTGGGGCGGGGCCTGTATTTCCAGACATCCTCAGAGACTGAATAAGTCTCAGACCTGAGCCTGGTAACATTCTCAAGACACAAACACCCTCCTGAGGACCGGCTGAGGAGTGTGTGAACTGGCTCACGGGGCCCCACATTTGTGTCCCAGCCCCACCTCCTAAACAGAAGAACCCAGCCACGGCCGTGCTCCAAGCTCGAGTTTACCCTCAATGTTACTGCTCAACACAACCCAGACACAAACCATGACCCTTCTTGCCAACTCCCAATACGGACAACAGTTTCTTCCCACCCTCTGTCCACTTCCAGAGTCTGCCCACCCCCTCGAAGATGCCAAGCAGGCCCCGGTCCAGACCACTGAGCCTCCAAGACAGCATGTTTTCCACCTGCAGGGTCCACACTTTCTCAGACAGATCAGCTACATCCTCCATTAGCTTCTATTTCAAGCTGGAATTCTCCTCGGCCGCACTCTGCAGAGAGTGCTTCCACACCCGGCTCTCCCCGGCCCCGCAGGTGGGCCTGGTCACTGTGCTGGCCATTACACACCTGCCAAGGACGTGCAGTTCCCAGGGCCAGGAGGCTCTTGCAGACCCTGCCAAGGTGTGGAAGGGGCCCACTGCCGTGGATCTCGCTGCATCCATTCACCTGAGCGAGCCAAACTCCCGTGACTGTGCGGGAATCCCTTATTCCAGGGCAGAGAAGGGCTTGTGGCCAACTGGGAGCACTTATGTGGAAGACCAATCACACCATGAAAACTGGGGAGGACTCCCAGCCCTGGAGAAGGCTTGAAGCTAATGTGCATGAATCCTTATGTCTTCACGTTCACACAGAAACTGCTCCCACACAATTCCTAGCAAACGCGACAGTTGCAAGAGGTCTTGTTCATAATTCACCATACTGCCATTCTGCAAATTCACATATTCACTCATTCCTTATGGAAGGTTTACTCTGGGCCAGGCACTGTGCTGGGCCATGGGCACAAGGAGAGAAATAGATCATATAAACAAGTCAACAAGACAATTAAGTACATCAGCAATTAAATCTACATAATTTAAATTAGAGTGAGTGCCATGCACAGGAGGGTAGGATGAGAGGGCACTGTCTTGGCCCGGCCCCGCCCCCCGGCGATGCTGGCTCCTGCTGCCGAGGGCCCACCGCCAGCCGTCAGCCCAGGGGACAGAGACCCACTAGCCGCCAGGCCCAGGAAAGCAATCCCGGATGACTGCCACCAGGGGATCAAACGCATCTGGGGGTGCAGTGAATCTGAGCCCCTTCCTCTTATGGAAGACGGCGGCCCTCAGGATGCCCCAACATTGCCGTACCCAAACCTGCAGCTCAGTATGTGCTTTAACCCACTCTGTGGTCCAAGACAAAGGCAGTCTGCAGGCCTGGGGCGTCCGCAGTGCTCCTGGCTTAACGGAAGCCGTTTCGACTGCTACCAAGACATGTGACCACTTCAAACTGCAGACCTAGCCTCTGCACTGTGGAGAGAGTCAGGTGGGGGCTGATCACGGACCCCTCAGCAGCCGAGGGCCTGTGGGTGCTTCCATCTTGCCCCACCAAACCAGAGGCCAGGCCCCACTGGACCTGCTCTGCTCCTTCCAGAAAAGGCAGAGGCGGCGAGGCTCGTGGGGGAGCCGCAAGGGACGCAGGGAGAGGGATGGCAGTACTGGGGTCACTGTGCACTCCTGACACCCTAAGAGGTGTCGTGGAACCAACAGGTGTTGTTTTGGAAAATAAACGTGACTTCTGAGTTTTGGTAAATAAGGCAGAAAGCAGCTTAAACATTGGAAATGTAACAGACCGGGAACGTCTGTGAGCTGCTGCGGGAAGAGAGGAAGGGTGGGTAATTCACACAAAACAACGAACAGGAACGAAACCCACAGAGCAAGGCAGGAGAAGCGCGGGCAGAGCCGTGGGCACGCGCGAGTGCGTGCTGAAGGCCGCGAGCACCCAGGCCGAGGGAGCCGGGCACTTCCAAATCACCCGAGACACGGTCGCCATGGCAGTGAGGGCGCTGCTGAGCTTCTGATCAATCCAAGTGCCCCCAATATTTTAGCTTTTTTTTTCTTTCCAAACATCCTTTTTCACTCTTCTCTTTTGCTGACTTTTATCCTGTCCCGATTTGGTAGCCAGCCTTGCTGTGCTAATTAGAAATTCTAGGAACTGGGAAGACCTGGATTGCTGAAGAGCCAAGCGGCGATGTGAAAGCATAGATACATTTCCTAGAAACCCTGCATCAATCATGCTCAAAAGGAATGCACAGACATTGTTTCCCGGGGCAAAGTGGAGATCTCGGGGTAAGAGAATTCTTGGCTAGCTTTTTATGGGAATTGCTTTCCAAATGGGAATTCCTTTCTTTGGAGCCTTATCTACATCTTGGCATCACACTTAGGAAGATTCAAAAACCCATGTATTGCACGGGCACTGAGTTCACCTTGGGCACATCCACATCGCCCTACATGCTCTAC